GATCACTGTCAGCACGGTGATACAGGCGTTGTGGCGATCACTGTCAGCACGGTGATACAGGCGTTGTGGCGATCACTGTCAGCATGGTGATACGGGTGTTGTGATCACTATCAGCATGGTGATGTAGGCGTGATTATCAGCACAAAGAATGCTCACGTAATAGTTTAATTCTCTCACTGGTATTAATGCATTTAACTAACTCATACTGAGCACGTGGTGCCACACGCTGAGCATTCTACTGCGTGTTACAGAGACAGATAAGACACAATCCTTTTACCCTCCGTGGGACTGGAGAAAATATACCAGTAATTCTGTATGATAAGGGCTATTATGGAAATATGTTAAACATCTTACATGTATAGAGGCAGTCAGACATACAGGGTCAGAGAAAACATCGCAGAAGAAGTACTGTCTTCGTGTTTAAGAAGCAGGCATTCCAGGCAGCGGGAAGAGCAGGCACGAGGGCACGGCAGATGCCCAACAGTCAGGGAACAGAATGGGGTTCGGCGTGCTTAAAATGAAGGCCTGCACAGCCAGCCCAGGAGACAGATAGGAACTTCACACCATTGAATAACTTCCAGCTGACGTTTAAAAACGAGGAGGCTTTGTATAAAATCTAGGTTTCTTGTTGATTTTCATTCCTCCGTAGCAAAATTGGGGCCCTGGCGGCGGAGTGGTTAAGAGCTACGGCTGCTAACCAAAAGGTCGGCAGTTTGAATGCACCAGCCGCTCGTTGGAAACCCCGTGGGGAAGTTCTGCTCTGTCCTGTAGGGTTGCTGTCAGAATCAACTGACGGCAATGGGTATAGCAAAATTGCCGGAGCCGTGAGCTCTGCGCTTTGCCTTGGTCTGCCCAACTCCTGTTGCTTCAGGGGCCGTGTGTTGATTGTCACTCATGTTGTACCCACCCACTTCACTAACTCACGTCGCTTGCTCAGCCCCGTGCGCTCTGTGGGTTTGGGACTGTAGGATGGGGCATAGGGTGAATGGAGGGGACTTGCTGAAGATACAAGTGGAAAAGTTGATTTACATCAAATCTCAAAAGACTTTAAAGTGCAGCTTGTAGGTGCTGAGGAGATACCAAAGATTTAAGAGCAAGAATTCTGTCACATGGAGGATGTTTTGACAGAGACTGTAGGAAAAAGTCCCACTAGAAGAATTTTGCAGTAACAGTAACGGATGCCATAGTGGAATGCCTGCTGTGTGTCTGGCTCTATGTTAAATTATTTTCTAACTGTGTCTCATTTGATGTTGACAAGGATCCTGTGGGATAGACACGCCTGCTTCCTGTCACAGAGGCCCACACGAGGCACCAGGGGTGAGAGTGGTCAGGGGCTGGCTGAGTCGTACAGCGTCAGTGCAGACCTGAGATGTGACTCTGGGTCTCAGCGGCCAGATCCTGTGCAAGTAACCCTCGTGGTGCCCACCGAGGAGCCTGGGGTCAGGCGCGTGGACTCCTCCGGGAGAGGACCAGAGCTGGGCAGAGCCCTCATGCAATGACGAGGGCCTGAGAAATGAGAGTGTGGCTGAGGAAGACTACATTCATGAGGGACTTTACTTGCAGGGTTCGTAAACAGATGGTGTATTTCGAGTGTCTTCATGAGCTGACCACCACCATCCAAAAAAACTCCCCTCGTTTGAAGGGAGCCAAGTTGTTCTTTTCTAAATCCCGTGACTGGCAAGAGGAAACAGTCTGCCACGCCCATTCCCTCTTCCATTATGGAGGGCGTCCTTTTTGGGCAGATGCTGTTTATAATCAGCATACTGATAATGACTTGAAACCTATTGCCTTGGAGTCAGTTTCAACTCACAGCGTCCCTATAGGACAGAGTAGAACTGCCCCATAGGGTTTCCAAGGAGTGGCTGGTGGATTCGAACTGCGGACCTTTTAGTTAGCAGCCAGGCGTTTAACCACTGCACCACTGGGGCTTCAGATAATAACATGTGACTGTATGCAAATCACTGTGTTCGGTCCATGGGGAAAACACGCTCATTAAGGATTTTAAAATTTTATTGGGTAAATGAAATCTGCAGCATTGGAAGAATCAGAAGAAGCCCTCGAAGGTACTGAGAAGTGACAGGCGTCCAGGGTCAGGGAGGTCACTGTCAGCCGGAGAACCTGGGAAACCTTGAAATCTGATCTAGTTTGTGCTTGCTGGGTGCCGTGGGGTCCATTCTGACACGTAGTGATCCCATGTGACAGAGTAGAACTGCCCCACAGAGTTTTCTAGGCTGTAATCTTTATGGAAGCAGATTGCCACGCTTTTCTCCCTGGGAGCCGCTGGGTGGGTTTGAACTGCCAACCTTTTAGTTATCAGCCAAGTGCTTAACGGTTTGCACCACGAGGGCTCCTTCTGAATTGGCTTTTAAAGGAGAGGAACATTTGGGTGGATGAAGAAAAGGGAGTATTTTTTTCAGGGTTGGTTGGCAAAGCTAGGTGGCAAGGGGAGGAGAGTGAATGAAGACATTGCAGGAGAAATAAGCAGTGAACCATAAGACCAGAGCAGAGGGCTTCCGTGCTTCCGACATTTCAGCTGGTGATTTCTAGCCCTTAACCATTCACCCGTAAAGAAGGCATAGCTTTGAGGCCAAGAGCAGTTTCCACAGTCATACTGCTTGGGTTTGAATTGTGGCCTTAATGCATACCACCTGTGCATCCTTGAAGAAATTACTTAATCTCACTAAGCCTCGGTTTCCTCATCTGTAAAATGGGAATAATTACAGCATCTACCTCATAGGGTAGCTATAGGGATTAAACGTTAGAATTAAGTGTGTAAAACATCTAGTGAGTGTCTGACAAGTCCTCAGAAGACGTTAGCTGCTGCTAATCACTGTTGACCAGGTAGACGGGTCTTACATAGTTGCTCTTTCTTTTCTTAATAAACCTGTTACTTTGGGAGTGTAGCAGATTTTTCTCCTTAATTCCAGCCGGTATTACCAGTTTATATTCTATCTCTGGAAACGCCAGGGAAAAACTGTTCTTGCGTAAACGTTTCTTTTCTGGCCTCCAGGGCCCCTTACTTGCTTTGTACCGTACCCCGTGACCAGCCTGGGTGCTGTGTGCTCAGTCATTAGGGTTCCTTCAGCTTGCATCAAGGCTTCATGTTCTCTAGGTACCTTTTCTTAACTCCTGCACGGCCTGACGTTTCTGCTTCCGCTCTTCAAGATGCATTCCATTTGTCACTGCATTTCCTGCGCCTGCGTCTGCGCTCTCCCCGTCTCTGAAACGTGCGGGCGGTGGCTGGAGATGAGAACGCGGTCGCATTGGCTGTTTTGTTATCGATCGTTGATAAGGTGACTCATGGGCCTTCATCGTGAGCAGGATTCAGGCTATTACATTGTCCAGGTCCAGTCCAGTCCACTCAGACATCCCCCTGCCTGTAGGGTCACTGTGGGTCGGAATCGACTTGACAGCACTGGGTTTAGTTTTGGGTGTGGGCTAGAGCCCAGGGTCTGCACTGTTAACAAGCTTCTGGAGTGATTCTGATGCAGATGGTCTGGGGACCTGACTCTGAGAAGTGCTGCTGTGAACCAGGAGAAGGGCAGGGATGATGCTGAGGGATTCCTGAAGCAGCTGGCCGAGAGCCACGGGAATCCAACTCTTGGCCTGTCCGTGGTGGTCAGGGCCCTGCAGTGCAGGGAAGCTCCTCAGGTGACACTTACACATGCTGAGGTTCTAGAACTGCTGCCTGAGAGATGATGTGGGCACCAGGGGGTGAGGTGCCAGACTGGAGTCACAGGGCTGTGGGAGGGGAGGGCCACCACATGGCAGGGCCACGGGAGGGCAGGGCCGCTGGAGGGCAGGGCCACGGGAGGGCAGGGCCACCACATGTCAGGGCCGTGGGAGGGCAGGGCCGCCGGAGGGCAGGGCCACCACATGGCAGGGCCGCGGGAGGGCAGGGCCGCCGGAGGAGCAGGGCCACCACATGGCAGGGCCACGGGAGGGCAGGGCTGCCGGAGGGCAGGGCCACCACATGGCAGGGCCACGGGAGGGCAGGACCACCACATGCCAGGGCCGCGGGAGGGCAGGGCTGCCGGAGGGCAGGGCCACCACATGGCAGGGCCACGGGAGGGCAGGACCACCACATGCCAGGGCCGCGGGAGGGCAGGGCTGCCGGAGGGCAGGGCCACCACATGGCAGGGCCACGGGAGGGCAGGACCACCACATGGCAGGGCCACGGGAGGGCAGGGCCACGGGAGGGCAGGGCCAGCGCCCAGCAGAGCCGGCGGGCGGCAGATCAGCGTTGGTGCCCTGTCTGCTGAGCCCCAGCTACAGTGTTCTTTCTCCCGCTCCATGCTGGCCCGCTCCCACTGCTCTCAGACCTCTCGCTGGCCTTCCTTGATGACCTGGCCCGGGGGCAGAACTTGTTTTATGGCAGATTTGGGTCCTCTCCTCTGTCTCAGAACAGGCTGTTCACAGACCATGGCAGCACATCACTGCCCGTGACCGTAGAGAGGAGCCAGCCAGGCCAGCAGGATTTTCCATTTTATCACGCCCCCAGAGACGGCAGAATCCACAGCCAACCTCACGGGAGGTTTCGGATCCAGTAGCCCCCCTTCATCCTCTGACAACGTAGGCAGACATCTGAGTGGAGGGAAGCGTGGTTGGGGGCTGCCCAGGTGTGTGCACAGGCCGGGAAACACCAAGGGGGTCACCTGGCTTCAGACAGGAGTCCTGTGATGTCCGTGATGAACAGCCGCATGCGGAATCGCTTGAGGCCAAGAAACAGCCCGAGAGAGCAAAGCCGAGCTGGTAATGAAGAGACTCGGAGCGGGACGGAGCTGATGGGGGATCATGTCGTGAGTGGTGCAGTCCAAGCTTATTCCCCTTCCTTCTGTGAGAAGGAGGACCGATGCAGACCTTGGCCACCCGCTGATGTCCCAGCGAGGCTCTGTCAGCTCAGCTGCCCTCGGTGCCCAGAGGAGCTGCCAGCAGAGCCCTTGGAGCCTTGTGTAGGGCCACGGGGATCCCAGCAGGGCGAGGATGAGTCCTTTAAAGCACGGCTTGCTGGTAAAGCTAGGCTGCGAGAACCCTTTACCTTTTATACGTGGCTGTTTTAAAACGCAGCGTTTGTTACTCCGTACACCTCTGTCTTTTTGTTGTTATTTTCCTGGTGGAGACGGTATGACAGTAGAGCAGAACTGGGAAAGGAAGGATAGAAAGAAGACCTTCCTTCCTTTCATTCATTCATTCATTCAGCGATAATCACTGAGTGGCTTCTTTGTCCCTGACATTATAGGCTATATAGGATGTTTGGTGAAGGGCAAAAGCAAAATCATTAAGATACGTTTCCATGGGGAGACACAGATGCTCACACAGTTCCTGTCCAGTGTGAGGTGCAGTGGTGGAGGTGTGTACAGGTGCTGTGTGAACACAGAGGAGGGGGAGGGGCTCCATCAGCCTGAGGGTATGGCCTCACGGGAGTACAAGAAAATAAAGTTAAATTGCTTCAAAGAAAGAAATAGGAGCACATGCTTAATGTTATGAGTAGAAAAAAGAAAAAAGGCAGTTAAAGTGAGGTGCGAGTGAGCAGGGAGAGGTGAGGGGTGGAGGAAAAGGAGCACGCGGCAGCCAGGCTATGCCACACTACGACCCCCGGGAGTGGGGGACAGGCCCCTGGAGAGTCCCCAGGGGGCGGGAGGGGCTCAGCCTCCTGTGGCCCCCCGACAGGTGACCCAGGTCCCCCCACCAGGCCCCACAGGCTCTTGAGAAGCAAGGGCCAGTTACTTCTCAGCAGTGCTGCAGTGGTCATAGCGCGGTGAACAGCGACCCCGATCCTGGACCGCGACCCCAGAGGGCTCTGCAAGCCGGGAGGGGAAGGGGCCGGAGGAGGATCTCGGGGGGAAACCTTACAGACACTTCCAAGTTCTTTTGTATTCAGTTATGTCCATTTCTTAATGCTTTGCCCTGACTACGTGGGGGCTGTGGACAGTATTGACTCAGGATTGTGTTTTTGAGGTGTTGCAGATGATTTGTGATCTTCCATGATAAGCTTGAGGTGTTCATTCCTGTTTATGAAATCTAAGGGAGAATGAAACGGAATTTAGAATACCAATCTGAGAGGGTCCTGGCCTGGGAACCTTCATAGTTCTGGTTCAGACACAGTGGACCAGATCTCCAGGGGAGTGGTTAGGGAGTAGAGGGACTCCAGGGGCTCTCCAGGCCCAGGGAGGGGCTGTAGACAAGCGGTCCTGGAGAACCAGCACGCTCTGTGAAGGGGAGCGTGGCCTCCGCGGGGCCGGCTCTCACTGCTGCAGCCCTGGGGACTTAGCCCAGGAGCATCTGTGTAACCTCCAGACAAGGCTAAGCCCAGGCTTGTCTCTGAGTGGTCAGGAGTCCTGGCCTTTTTGTGCAGCGTAGGGCACACAGCTAACCTTAGCTTTTAGACACAGTGACTGTCCACGAGATTGATGGCTTTCTCTGCCCCTCAGAGGGAGGTTGGGCCGTTGGTCATTAGGAATTTTTCCATGCAAACTCCAGGACATCTGTTCACAGGTGATAAACTTCACTTCCCAGGACTCTGACCACGGCTCAGGCCGGTTGCCTGGTCCTCTGGTATCTGATACCGCACATTTCTGTTTTTCAGGGGAGAATTCGGTTTGCGAGAGTACTCAGAAGTGAAGACTGTGACAGTAAAGATCCCCCAGAAGAACTCCTAAGAAGGCCAAGAAGGAAGGAGAGAGCCAGCCTGCACACCTCCCCTCTGCTGTCCCTGTGGGGCCCCGCTCTCAGCAGCACACAGCTGATACACAGTCCTTATTAAAGGGTTCCGTGGTAACACGCAGCCAGGCAGGCCCTGCGTAACTAACAGACCAGCTGGGCAAGGCTTCTTGGCGCTGTGAGGGATCACCCTGAGGTTACCAAATACTGGGGGAGGTGGGGCAAAGGCAGCCGTCGGGCATCTCCAGGGTCTCTCGAGCAGGGGACTGAATTTGGAGCTGTGTTACTTGATGCCTGTTGTTGCGCCTGTCGTCCCTCTTGAGGAAAGGTGGCCTTCCCATTGGCTTCATTGCCCCCTCCCAGCCCCCACCCCACTCACCCACCCCTCCCGCTCCTCCAAGGAGATCTCAGCTGAGCTCACTGGGGGCAGATGTTTAGGCCAGGAACAATTTTCCAAGGTTTTGCAGCCAAATTACCATTTCATGTTACCCATTTCTTCAAAGCAGAACATGAAATGGTTTTAGTTAGAGCCAGACCAGACTGAAGATGCCAGGAGCTGGTACACTGCAGCAGATGTGCTGAGAAGGAAGAGCCGGGCGTACTCCTGACCCAGTCGGTGTTCTTGTACCCATAAATAACCTGAGGGAGAGCTCGGGTACGGGGACCTGGAGGGTATGGTGTAGTTCACAGCTTCTAAGCTTGCTGTGTGGTGGTGGTGGTGTGTGTGTGTGTGTGTGTGTGTGTGTTTGCGTTTGCTTCCTTCTCTTGGTTATTCTAGATTCAGGTGAAGGGTGGATTGTTTCTCGTAGGTGGATGTGATCCTTTCTAAAGCTCATCTTTAAAACCAACCCAAAAAAAGTCTGAGTAGGCTCGAGAATTCCGAAGAAGGATGCTTTGAAGGTGTAATCAGTTTCCGGTAATGGCTGACAGTTCTTACTAAGTGCATTATCTCTGCACTTGGAATCTGCACCCCAGTCTCGACGCCGCTAACACCTGCTACTCCCAGTGTCCTGGGTGTGATTTTGGCCTATCCTGGGCCTAATGTACCCTGAGCCCATTGGCAGTAACCTTGGAAAATCAGGCCAAGCCCAGGGGTTTCCTTTTCCATAGGCCGAGTTCTGTGCCGTCATGCCATGCTCCACAGAGCTGCCACGCCACACCAGGGCTCGTCCGCGTGCCGGCCTTGCCCGGCTTTGCCTACGAGGGGAGGCAGGAAGCAGGCCCTCTCCTCTCCCTTCCTCTCAGCCACACGCTCCTCTGTGAATGACCTGGGCACCGATAGCTCCCTTTCCCCCGCCCTCTTCCCAGCTGCAGAAGCCAGTTCAGTCTCTAACCTAGATGAAGAGCATTTATTTAAAAGTACAAACATAACCTAGAGTATGTGGAACATGGGCAACATACACATATATATATATATATATATATATGTGTATTATACATATATATAGAGCCTTCTGTATTTAACAGTTTTCTGCTTTCTAATCGGACCAGTTTTCTGTTTATAACTCTCATCTATTCACGATGCTTTAAAGAAATCTCCATTCGATGGTATTTACAAACGACAGAACATCCAGGAGCCCAGTGCCTCGAGCGACGCGCATTTCTGAGTTCTTCCGTGGGAACGTCAGGCTCTCTCCTGTGACCTGTGTCCAAGTGAACGTAGCCACTAACGAACTAGTTACCTTTGAACTGCAATATCAAATGTGAAAATGAAGATTTATTCCTTTAATTTACTCAAACAGAAACCTCTGTGCTAGCAATAAAGCATTTATATTGTGTACTCCTGGCATTCTTTGGCTGCGATTTTAAGTCCTTGTTGTCCTGCTAAGTTCGTTCGGGCCCCTTCCTCAGCTGCGGGGGTGGTTCTTCAGCCAGGTTGCTGACTGAGCAGAAGGCCAGGAGGGTGATTTTACAGAATGCATTAAGGTGAACAAGGCCCTTCTCAAAGTATGTAAAATCTGTAAGTGCATATAGTTTTCTGTGGCAAATCTGTACACGCATCTATGGAATATTTCCTGTGACAACTGTCATTCAGAGTAGCCTCCGTAAAAGCTAAAATGTGGAGTGTCCGAGGGCCTTCTTGCAAACACGCAGTCCGCAGCTGGAGCTTAGCGCTGCTGATGGCATTTGCGGTAGCTTTATTTGTATTTATCAAAGTGAAATGAAGTCAGAGGCAGACAAGCTGATGCAATGTTGTTGCAGCTGTAAAAGAAGGCTGTAAACGGTGACCGTACACCAGCTAGAGCTTGTTTTCTCTGGATTCTCAGAGTTGAGCTTTTGGCAAGTGGTTCCCACCCTTTAGACCTGCACATCCTCCCCTTCCACCCCCTGCAGTCTCCACCCAGGTTCTGGTCAAGCGATACAAACCTAAAGCTGATGATTTAGCCACAGAGCAAACCCGACGTGGGACAAGAGACTGACTGCTCTGTACTGGGAATCATTTCTGTCTGCTGGTACCCTGTCATTCAGAGGACAGACCGAATGTGGGAGAATGCAGTCCTGGCATACTGGCTTGGACTCTGAGATGGAGATGTGGGGCTCCCCATGAACCTACCTCGTCTTCAGCACACTGAGCCATCGAGAAGAAAATGAGAAAGATGGGCATAGAAGAATCACTTGAAGTCCTCTGGCAAGATGCCTCTGTAGAGCTTATACACGGAGGGAATGAGGAATAAGACAGACTTAAAAAGTTCCTCAAACCTCGTCCCTTTATGATCCTGACATACAGCCAGGTGAAGACAGCATTACGAATGTCGTTAATGACTGACACCCAGACACCATTTGTCGTCAGCCCTGCGTACTTAGGGTCATTTTTTTACCATTAACCCGAGGTTTCCCTAGCACCTGTCTTCCAGAGCACCGAGTGCATTCATGTTGAAGAGCTCACTCTTACACCATTTTAGAAACTGAAGGACAGGAATGCTACAACATAGGGACTAAAGAGCAGGAAGAAACAGCCAGTCTGCTGAGCTGGGTGGTAGACAGGAAGGCACCTAGGAAAACAGGGTAATCACAGCGCTAAGAGGCATCAGTGCATAGGTGGCTTGGGCCTGGGCTTGGGGAAGAGATGTAATTTCAGTAGGCAAAGGAGGAGGAAGAAGCCATGCCTGGTAAAAGGAATAACCTGCAATGGTGAGACCGAACTTGGCATTGTTGGGAGGTAGTGAGGAGTTGGGGTTGGCAAGAGCAGGCAGTGCATGCCGGCAAATGGGGTGGCGTTTAAATGAATTGGTTATATGGGGGTCAGTTGCAGAGGGCTGAGGGTCAGCCAGAGGGTTCCATCGTAATAGAAGATAAAAACCACACCTGTTGCTGTCAAGTTGATTCCGACTCATAGTGACCCTATAGGGCAGAGTAGAACTGCCCCATAGGGTTTCCAAGGAGTGGCTGGTGGATTCGAACTGCCAACCTTTTGGTTAGCAGCCGTAGCTTGACCTCTGGGCCACCAGGATTTCCGTACCAAAGACGGGGAGTCACTAACAGTTTCTGAGCCAGGGCGTGATGGAAGCAGTACTTGGAGGGTACTGGTCTGGACAGAGTGAATAGAAGCAGAAGGAGGCTGATTACAAGGCAAGTTTGACAGAAGCCTGGCTGGGGCCATGGGGACAGAGAGGAAGGAAACAATTAAATAGAAAGATTACCAGAACTCGATGAGTGAATGTGAAAGAATGTAGAGATACATGAATATGTTTTCAAACCCAGCGAGTAGGGAAATGGCCGTGTCACTAACACAGAAGTTGAAACCTGGAAGCAAGGTTTTAGGGAAAAACCTTGACTTCAGCCTTTGGACATTTAAATTTTGGGGGTGATAAAGGGAACTCCAGATAGAAATCTCTAGCAGACCCCTGGAGATAGGGAGTTGGAAGTCACCTCAAATGATGACTATGGCATGAACATAACAGTGATGGCTCTTTGTACAGAGACAGAATCACGACAAAATTAAACCTGTTGCCACTGAGTCGATTCTGACTCATAGCGACCCTATAGGACAGAGTAGAACTGACCCATAGGGTTTCCATGGAGCAGCTGGTGAATTTGAACTGCCGATTTGGTTAGCAGCCAAACACTTAACCACTGTTTCACCAGGGCCCACAAAATTAGGGCTGGAGAAAAGAAATGTAGTCAGAGAAATAGGAGGAACGTGAGCCAGGTGTACACCACAGAACCCAGAGAAAGGGGCAGAAAGCAGGCCGGGTGTCCACCACAGAACTCAGAGAAATGGGAGGCAAGCGAGCCAGGTGTCCACCACAGAACCCAGAGAAATGGGTGGCAAGCGAGCCGGGTGTCCACCACAGAACCCAGAGAAAGGGGAGGAAAGCAGGCTGAGTGTCCACCACAGAACCCAGAGAAATGGAAGGAAAGCAGGCCGAGTGTCCACCACAGAACCCAGAGAAACAGAAGGCAAGCGAGCCAGGTGTCCACCACAGAACCCAGTAGTCCTGCTGCTTTCCTCTTTATTCCTCTCCAAATTCTACTTGCTCTTTAACACCAATTCTAAGGCCAGTTTCCTCCTTGCCCACCTTGGCCAGGTAGTCCAGACTCTAGTTTCTTCTACTTAATGTGGCAGTTACCAATTGTGCGCTCACGTCCTCTCTGTGAGGCACTGAGCTGGCAAGAACTAGCATGGCGCCGAACAGAGCAGGTGCCCCGTAATGCTGGCTAATTGGTAGTCAGCCCTGACACTCAGGCCAAGTGACTGGAACGGCCATTCCTGAGACTTCACCTGCAAGCACAGTGGAGCTCTGTGATGGGCCAACCTTGACTGACCAGGAAAAACTCGGCTGCTGCTCATCAACCGCCTCTGCTAATGGTGTCAAGTTCGAGTCTGACAGTATCAGTCTCTACTTCATAAATTAAAAGATCACAGCTCTGTACTGCAAGGGTTCCTCACACCACCCTCATTCTCAGCCTCTTTGCTGTCCCCCTTCTTGAGAACTACATGAAGCCGGAATGAGGCTAAAAAATACACGTGACACCAAGTCTTACTACTCTCCACATGGAGCAGTGATGTCTGACGAGAGGAGAGCCCACTCTGCAAACCCAATGACCCTAAGACGCTAACTTCTTTCTTCCCTCCCCTCCTCTCCCTCTACATGTGTTCATTA